TTGATGTCCCCCGTTGACCCGGATGTGGTGATGCAAAAGATCAAAGCTGGAATGGGCACGCCGGTTTCCCGGCCGATACCTGCTAGACCGCAAGTGGAGAGGGGAGAAGGAAGTGTGGTGTCGATGGTTAGAGCGTTGAATGCGAACAACGAGGGTGGTGGATGGAAGGCGAAGGAGAAGGGGAAGGTAGAGGGCAAGACTCCCGGGGAAAGTGTCAAGGAGCCAGAGAGTAGCACCAGTGGGCTGGAAAGGGACGTTCGAGACGCTGTGGGAGGAGATGTGTTTGGAAAGACCGAGGCGGCTGCCAAGAAGAAGCCGCCTCCTGCGGTGCCGAAAAAGCCCGTGACGCTGCAGAAGGCGAGTGACCCGGCTTCGGGCGAGACCAGGTAGTGTACTCGTACTTTATATATCTGTTGTATATTGCATACGATGTCACGACTTTTACCACGAAGAGAGTCATCCTTTGTCAACGAAGACTACTGCCACAATGTCTTTGAAGGTAATCTCTCGACGATCCCGGTACAGCGGGACGGCTTGCGTAATTTTATGACTGTCGGGTTACGTTACCAGTCGGAAATTTCAACGCGTCCCCTCATGATTTCAAAGCATTGCGAGCTGTACAAGTACATACGCAAAAAGTGGAAGAGTCGACATAGCTCGATTGACGAGGGGCGATAAGGAGCTCAGAGAGACGGAAGACACTGAGACAAGGCCACGAAATGGACGGCGGAGATCTATACCGGCTTAGGGCAGTCCTTAGACACGGCACGCTCGCAGTGGTTCGGGGTTTGGCAGCATCATAACGGACGCGTCGTCGTTGTCCGGCATGATCAACAGAGCATGCAGAGCATGCAGATGGTGCAATGGGCCTAATGTAACCCCACTCACCGACAAGATTTGCATACTGATAAGAGGTGCATGCAGAAGTGTTGAGCAAAACAATCGCGAAGGTTAATTCCGACGATTAGCTAGGCTGCGTGCCGCGGATGGATCAGGGTACAAAACGATGACCGCTGGATAACGAAAACGTGCATCGCATCGTCTGTTTGTACTTGTACTTGCCTCTCCATCTCTATACATATCCCGGCGGGAAAAGTCCTGGAACCAGGCCAAAGCAGACGCGAAGGGCAGAGAGAAACAAGCACAATACCCGCGCGACGGGAGCTCAAGGTGAGTACCGGGTGAGGCTTTGGTGACGGGGAACCGGTAGGGGTACGTAGGGGGCCCTACGTAGACCACGAATATATCGACTGTACGAAGACGGCAAGAACGCTAACCAGTATGGGATAGGACGTAACGTACACTCCCCGCCACGGCATCCCTCCAGCAACCCGCTCTTTTTCAATTTCTGTTTGACATGTCTACCTCAGAATTACCATCCCCGCCTGCCTCAGCTACCTCGCCTGCCCCCCCTCCCCAGCTGCCCGTCCGTCCTCCCCTCTCCCGCCCCCTCAGCGAAATCTCTGTCAACGAGCCCCGCTGGCGCACCTCCAACCGGTCCTCCGTTCATTCCTCCAAAACCACCATCGTCGCTTCACACAAAGGAGGCAGTCGTCCAGCTAGCGAAGTGAGGGATAAGGAGGATATTGATAACGAGCAGGGTGCCATTGCTGCGCCAAAGAGAGTGAGCTCAGCTATGGGCTTGCCGCAGACCATCACCGTCAACTTGGCCGACTATGCAAAGACGGCACAGCAGGCCCCGCCTTCGCCGCTGGCAGAGTCCAGCACTGCAGTCTCTCTTGGCTCTGCCATAGGGCCCAACGCTGGTGCCAGCGCGAGCGCAAGCAAGCCAGAGCTGCCAAGACGGCCGCAGAGTGGATCATCAAGGCGAGACAGCAGGGCCAAAGCGCCCGAGGCTGATGGCGAGCAGCAGGCTGGCGAAGCAGAGTGAGTCCATGAGCATGCTGCATGGCGATCATCACTGACCAGATCCAGCGACAAGCATCAGTCGGCCATCCTGGTCGCACAGCGCACTTCCCTTCGTCCAACGACCTCTCGCCCGGCATCCTACGCTGAAGCGGCCAAGTCTCCCGCCACTGCGACCCCCTCATCTACCCTTCCTCTTGCTCACCCCGAGCCCCGCACTTCCTCTCTCGCCCCTCGGACCACAAAGTCGAAACCCTCATGGCTAAAACGAGGCGGCAAGTCAAAAAGTCCAGTCTCCAACGAGAATTCCCCCGGTCCTTCTTCCAAACCCCTCCCACCCGTCTTGCCACCACGCAAAAGCAAGGCAAAACTCCCAGACTCTGCTTCCCTCGCCGATATCCAGTCCGTCTCCTCTTCCGACTCTATGGGCGCTCCCGATGTTTTAGAAAAGACGTCGTACGCGTCGATAGCTTCCGGCCCTCCTCCGCTGCCGCCTCGGAACAGTGGGGCAAGTGTGAGAGGACGAATAGCCGCTTGGACGCAGGCTGCTGCCCAATCAGGCGGCATGACGAGGTCTGACTCGACTCAGAGTCTTGCTCCCCCTCGCCTCGCCCCACAGCATACCGGCACTTCACAGTACCGGATGCCTTCGTCCGCGTCGCGCGTCTTTGGTCACGCTGGCTCTGCGGTCTCGAAAGGGTGGGCAGGCTTGAGGTCAAAGGGGATGAACAGTAGCATGTCGATTGGGAATCTCAGCACCATCGCCCAGAACGGCCCTTCCCAAAAGTCGTCTCGTACGTCGCCCTTGGGTGGTGGGAAGCGCGACCGCCTTCCGTCAGATAATCAGGAAGTTTCGGGCCCAAAGTTCGACCAAGAAACCGTCAAGCGACCTCCAGAAGGAGGCGAGGGCAAGGTGTTTGGGAGGGAAATTGTGGACGCTGGAAGGGAATGGGGTGTGGTTGATGCTGGGTTTGAGGTCGACGGGCAGAGCGAGTGGGAGTCGAGGAGAAGAAAGTGTTTGCCGGCTGTTGTCGTGCGGTGTGTTGACTATTGTGAGTCTTTGTCTACCCAAGCAGGCAGCGCTGATGGGAGCAGTGGAAATATGGGGACCTAAAGAAGAAGGCATCTTCCGGATCAGCGGCCGAAGCAGTCATTTGGCTACGCTGAAGAGAAACTTTGACTCTGGAGCGGATATTGACCTGGCAGACTGTCATCCTGGAGACCTTGATCCCCATGCTGTTGCTGGTGTCTTTAAATCGTACCTTCGAGAACGTGAGTACTGTCGTACAAGACCCAAGCTGCGCTGATATCGTCACAGTTCCTACGCCCCTTCTGACGAAGGAGCATGGGCCAAAGTTCGAGGAGCTTGTCGCCAAGAAGAATGAGAAAGTCCGGAAGGAGGAGTCAACAGAGCTGGAGGATGGAGAGTTTGCCGATCTGCTGGCTCAGTTGCCCCAGTCCCACTGGTTCCTGCTCTCCGAAATAGGTACGCCTGCCTGCATGTGGTCTCATTGCTGCCAGGCTAATGCTCTCACAGTTAAACTTCTCGACCTCATTCCCAAGCACAATGAAGTCAACCGTATGACTCTCAACGCCCTTATGCTCTCTCTCGGCCCCTCCCTCAACATCCCCGGGGCAGTCGTTACCGAGTTGATGGAGCGCCGCGACGTCCTGTTCGCTCAGCCGCCCCCTCCTTCAGTGCTTGAGGATGCGGCCGACCTTATCGACTTTGGCGATGTCGACATCCCCCTGTCCGCTGTCCCTCAATCCACCATCTCAAGCTCCTTCAGCTTGTCTTCCCTGCCACCTAGCCCTAGCGCAGACGATGTTGCTACGATGTCTGGATCAGTGAAGCGCAAACCTCCTCGCCTACCCACTCGCCCGAGTATTACCAAGCTCTTCACTGGTAGCCAGGTCAACCTGCAAAAGCAAAAGAGTCAGGAGACATTGGCGAGCATAACGGACGTGGAGCCGCCGAGGGTGGATGTGACTGTCTCGCCGACGTCGCCGTTGCCTGTCTTTGACAAGAATGGGGAAGAGGTGACTCCGCACAAGCGCGATACGATTAGGGCGCAGACTGCCCCTGCCGAGATCCCCATTCCTCCTATCGCTTCGTCCATGACAATAGCGGAAATGGAACCGACAGAAGAGATACACTATGCCCCTGGTACGGTGGAAGAGCGTTCAAAGTTGTTCTCTGTCCCTGCCACTCCCACCAGTACAGCCTCAACTTCCACACCCATAGCAGACCGATTTACTGCTGGTCACTCGTTCTTCCCCTTCCTGAGAGCGCCAAGGGAGCAAGGGTCTGTCAGGTCAGCGAGGTCGTCGTCGTCGGTCGGGGCATTCAGCGAAGAACGTCCGGGAAGCGCTGCTGGCAGTATTGGATCGGGCGGCTCGGGGCCCAACCCTGCTTCAGTTATCCGCCGCGGTCCTCCCGTCTTCTTCCAGAGCTCCAACGTCGAAAGTCGGCATGTGAGGAGCATGTCGTCTGTACCTAGTGGCGACACTGGCAGGAGCAAGAGCCCCTCTTCCTCCGGGAGAAAGAGGAAGGAGGAGATGGCTGGGGAGGAGGATCAAGAGAAGAGGAACAGTAAGCGACTGTCTGCTGGACCTGGGGTCTTGGATGGCATGGTGGCCTAGACGAGATAGTGTCTTGATCATGGTTTTGGTGCGCATGGTTTTTGTAGTGATTTGTAGGCGATGGTTTCCTTTTCTCTCTTTTCGATCTTTTCGGTTGTTACGGCTCACACATATACGGAATTTCTCTCTCGATATAGATACCAATCAGTGTCTTTCGATACCCCGACTTTGATACATATATTCACCTACATACCCTGCTCTCTTCTCTCTTTGGTCTCTAGTATCTTCTGGTTACGTGTCACTTGTTCTTCATGTATTTGTCTGACTTCACTCGTGCGGGAACGGATAAGCTCAAGCGGAAAGAGAAGTCGCCTCCTGCCGGCACGCGCCGCGCAAGGAAATGATGATGGCCTTCGGGCATGTGACTTGTTGACACGTTCACGCCACGCCCACTATGTCACTTGTCGTCATTCTCACATGCATTGCAATTCCTGCCGTCCTATAAGAAGCACCGAGGCCGCATGGTCTCTTGTTGCATACCGCTGTCCCGCCTCGTATTCTCTCAAACCAAATTAGCCACAACCAGCTTTAACAAGTCTCTCAACAGTCATTCACAACATGGTCTTTGTACGAATCGCCGCCCGAACAATTCCTCGAGCTTCCGCTCCTACTGCAAGTCTACCCGCTACTGTTCGGCTCCCACTGGGTTTTGCTGACGGCTTGAGCACAGAGGCGATACGCCTCGACTATTCCTCCCGCTGGGCCTCCTCCTTCTGGTGGCAGCAACAGCAGTGCGTGCTTCTTTTAATCAAGGTGGCGAAGATATCGCTGATCATTCTCGGTAGACGGATTACTCCTCGGGGCGGGTGCTGTCGCGGCTACCGCCGGGTACTTCTACTATGCCAACAACCAGAAGCAGATTGACAGCCAGGTTCGAAGGGCTGACAACAAGGTATGCCCATCTTCTGCGTCTATCATTTTCAAACCCCTGACTCTCATTTGCAGGCACATGAGTTGAAGGGCAGGGCAAAGGCTGATCTGGAAGACGCTCAACAGAGGGCTGCTAAGGCTCTCAAGTGATCATGACACCATGCCCCTTGGTGTTGATGAAGAAGAACCCTTGTACTACCTGACGGGTCTTGATAATGGCAATGGAAAACACATGCACCGAAAGATATCAGTGGTCTTTTACATTACACGATGAAAGCTACAACGGTCATAAGAGCTCTGCACTATCTTCTAGTCGTAATCGCAGCAGTCGTGACTGGTATAGCACTGTCGGTGCGCCCAGTGATCCGACGGCTTGTCTTTGACGACGTTGACGAGCTCTTGCCAGGCACCGTTAGGCATCCGACCGTCTCGCTTGGTCCTGGTCTCGATCTGCGCAAGTCCTAGGAGGCATTCAGCGCCGCACACAAAGTAGAAGAGATGTACCCACTTTCAGCGGCCTTCATGATAGTTCCGTTCGGTATATAGCGCATCATCAACACCAGCTCACAGGCAATCTTGGCTATCTCATCCCACGCAGCTCTCTTGGGCCCCGTCTTGGGCGGCGTCTTGAGAGCTATGATAGATATATTACCTAGCAATGCTTGCTCACTGCGAAATTGGTCAGACTTGGCGTAGACTTGCCCAGAAACGCCTCACATTTGAGCGAGACCGGTGGTTGTGGCGGTACCATACGACATGGACGAGTTTGCCGTCCAAGGCCAGAGAGCGACAAGTCCTGCCAGATAGTGTTTGATAGCAGCCTCGTACTTACTTGCCTTCCCGGCTCTGATCAATAGTCAAAGACGGCTCTACTCATGATCGTCCATCGAACTCACGTATTGCCTTTGGCTTTGTGCGCGCTAGCTTCTTCGACACTATCCGACAATCCTCTAATCTCTCTACTGTCTACCTTGCTCTTCCGCTTTTCGATCACCATGGCATTGGACTTGCCTTTTGCAACGAGCTGTAGCGTCTTCTCAATATTGACCACAGCCTCGACCATACGGATGTTGACCATGAGGTCGTAAGACTTTACGGCTCGGTGGTAATTCTCCACCAGGAAAGTTGGATTCGTTTGGGCTGCCTCGATGTACCTAGTCATCACAAGTCAGCTGCGACGCCACATCATCGATCTTGGGAGATACCATACTGCTCAACCTCCAGATCATACTCTCGGGCCTTCTCGTCCAGCCTTACCGCATCACTACCAACATCATCCCATGTTCTGCACATACGCTCCACTACCTCCTCCCCGGGCTCATCCACCTCGCTCTTCCGAAGATAGTGCAACATCTGCACCCCCTGCTCGCCGCCCAAAAGAGCATCCGAAAATACTGACGCTGCTCGAGGAGCTGGGGAGACCATCCCGAGGGCTTGGGAAAGAGACGATGGGAGGCCGAGGAGGACGAGTTTGCCGTCCATTTGCGCGAGCCTGAGCATGATGATTGTGTGGCGGATGGTAAGCTTTCTGCTCGAAATCGCTTGAAGAGACCCGGGGGCAAGGGGAGATAAGATGTTGATAGCGACTTTCGCCTTTCGTCCTTTCGACTTCCCTTCCACTGTGTTGGTCACAAAGGACGGACACGCACCCGTGATGTGCCGGGATGGGAGGTCAATAGAAGGCTGATGACAATACCTTAGTGTGAGAAGTTGAGGATCGATAAGTAGCTGATACATTCTACAAATTATACAAGACAAACATATTACCCTAGGTCGTATATCGTTATGTGAAGAAGACTCTTTCTTGTATTGTGGGTGTTGGGTGGGGAAACAGCTGGTTAAACAGCAAACGACGCGCTGCGTTTTTGAAACGCAAGTTTTCCCGGCCGTTGCGCAACTCGTCGAGTATATTCAGGAGCGCACGGGGAACCGGTTGGGGCATATGTCGAGAAAAAAAGCCAGGATGAATTGGCATTTGGGATTTGGAAAAATTTGATCGCAAAATTGAAAATCGGCGGCGGGGGGGTTTTAAGCGTCGAAAGGCTGAGGCTTGAAGGCTTGTTCGGTCTCGGTCTCTTCGAGATTGCTCCTTGGACCTTCGTACCATTTTCTGCCGGCGGCAACGTACCACACGAGCGAGAGGGCCATGACGGCCATGGTGATTGGAGCGGCGTAGTTGAAGGTGTCCCATGTGAGGGGGAAGGTCTCGGGGAAGCAGAGGATGGTGACTTCGAACAGAGTCCAAAGAACCCTATCATATGATGTCAGCGATGTAGCGGGAGAGCGGGAGATGAGACGCACATGATGATGTTGACAAGGTAGCCCCATTTGCCCATGTAGAAAGGTCCAGGCTTGAATTGAACTTCGGGGTGGCCTTCGAAGACTCTTCGGCAGATGACCGGGATGATATAAGACAAATCCATGGCGACAGCGCACTGCGGCACATCAGCACCCTATCTCCCTCTTCTTCGGCGTGTACTTACCATAGAGAAGACAGCATTCACAGCCGTCAAACTCGCAAAGGACAGACATCCCATCAACGCACTGATACCGACAACCAGCCACACAGCATAGATCGGTGTCTTTGTCTTCTCATTCACGATACCAAAGAGACCCCTATCCGGCAAAGCACCGTCTCGGGAAAACGCGAATACGGTTCTAGAGTTGGCTTGAAGAGCAGTTTGGACGGTAAAGGTGGCGACGAGGCAGGTGAATGACCAGAGGACCATAGCGCCGGCGGTACCCATGCGCATCTGCATGATGCCCAGGAAGGCATTTCCAGATGGACCGGGGAGTTGGGTGACGTCGCCGGCACAGATGCAGAGAGTGATGTTGAGGATCCAACCGATTGCCTAAGAGCTACATGTTAGTGAGATGAATGAGATGTGGGAGGGAGATACTGACACCGGTGTTGATGACGGCTACAAAGATGGCCACGGGAGCAGCGATGGCAGCCCGGTGGACTTCCTCACTAATGTGCGCAGCTATATGACATGTCAGCGGGATTCAGAAGCGTGTGAAGCCAAACATACCGGCATCGTAATCCGTCATAGTCCATTGCACAGACAGCAGTCCCATAGCCACCGCCAGCCCATTACTGGCCCAACCAGAGTTGTTGGACACCTCAGTAAAGATATAGCTCCCAGGATGCATTTCACTTCGAGGGGTGCAGGCGAGAAGAGTAATGACGATGACGATGGCAGCCTATGAAACGTTAGCAAAGTGCAAGACGTTGGGCGGTATACTTACTCCTATGTTGATGAAGACGAAACCTCTAGTCAAGCGCGCAAGACTGGCTGTGGGGAGAGAGTTCAGGATACCGTGTATGGCCAGAAGCCCGATGAAAAGAAGGAACTGGTGCCAGTTTACAATCTCATAATCGTCTCGGCAAACCACTACGGCGGCAAGAATCATCTACGCCCTTGTCAATGAAACTTTCCATAATCAGAAGGACATACGCACGCCTGAGAGACCCCATTCTGTTGAAGCAACACCAGCAATTTGTCCCAAAGTGTTCATGTAACCGGTGACCCATCCGACACTGCACCATGGTCAGCTACAGATATCTCCAAGCACGTTCCAAAACTCACATGGGCCTCCACCGCCGTGGGCAAAGAGCAGATGAAGCCTGAATTACATCATCAGTTTCGTTGTCTTGCGTACTCGAGACGGGATATATTCACAGTGTAGACACCACCAGCAGTAGGGTATGCAGAGACCAGTTCAGCTATTGAAGCACCTAAAGATATATTCACTGGACATGATGTCAGTACACTTGATAGCACAAAGCAAGCAAAGGACGCTGTGACTCACTGATAGAACCCGCAAGCCAGCACCACCTTTGGGACAAACAGATAAGATTAGCACGTGCGATGCCGAGTGTCTCATTGGACCGAAAAATAAAGATGCTCACACGACAGAGGCAACACCTCCTAATGAAAGGGGAGTTGTGAAAGTAGTGGCGATAGATGCAGTCATACTAAATGGGTCAGTGCCATCCCATATTGCAATCAGGATAACATACCCCATGATACTACCACTCTGTTAGCATTGTTCCGCGTAAAGCCGCAAATGTCAAACTCACCTCATGGCAAAACTGAAAGTCTCCAGGTTGCCAAATTCTCTGATAAACTCAGACTTGTATCTGAAAGACCCATCAGTACTTGATTGAGGTCTCCTAGGGCTTACCTCGCAGTGCTAGACCACGAGAAAAGGAGACGCACCCAAGCTGCGCCAGGACGGCATCGTCGTCGCCGTCCGAGCTCGCATTGCGGACTTGGTGCGACGGGTCGCGGAGGTCAGGAGAGGATTTACCGTCAGCCATGATATGCTGAAGGGGACGGGGGTGGAGCAATTTGTGGTGGAAGAGAAGAGGCGGATTCAAAATGGCTGACGCTGCCCTGTTCCCTGCTGAAAAGAGGACGGAGACGCCCGTGTGCCCGCGCTCGTGCCTCTCGCGCCGTTCTGCTTATGTAATACGTTTTGACTCCGCCGAAAATGATGACTCGCGGTGAACAGATGAAGATGGGATGTCAAAGTTGCAAGTCACAACTTACTTTTGCAGGAGCACGGCTGCCCCGTTTATCTCTATACCCACCCGGCCGCTATATGCTCCGAGCGCCCCTCCTTCGATCGTTAGTCTCTCGAAAATCAGCATACCCACCACTCTTTTCCCTCGCCAAAATGTCCACCGCTGCCGAGATCAACGAACAGATCGCTGGTCTCCAGAGCCGTATCAAGGAGCTCAAGGTCGCTAAGCAAGATGCTTCCAAGGAAGTTGACTCGATGAAGAGCCTCAAGGAGCAGCTCAAGGCCGTGCAGAAGGATCAGGGCCCTAGCACTACTCAGACCTTGCAGCTCAAGACCCCCAAGGGTACCATTGACCACAAGCCTGAAGCTGCCTTGTTGCGCAAGAAGATCTTCTCTACTCTCGAGGGTATCTTCCTGAAGCACGACGCTAGTACCATCGATACTCCTGTCTTTGAGCTCAAGGAGATCTTGGCTGGCAAGTACGGAGAAGACTCTAAATTGATCTACGACCTTGCCGACCAAGGTGGTGAGCTTTGCTCTTTGCGATACGACTTGACCGTAAGCTATATATCTCTCCTGCAAAGAGCCCTGCTGAATATGTACAGGTTCCCTTTGCCCGATACGTTGCCATGAACGGTCTCTCCTCCATCCGTCGATACCACATCGGAAAAGTCTACCGCCGAGACCAACCGGTCATGACCAAAGGTCGTATGAGGGAGTTCTACCAGTGCGATTTCGACATTGCCGGGCCTTGTGACCCTATGGTCTACGACTCTGAAGTCCTCCGTGTGTTGTGCGAGTCCCTCACTTCCCTTGATATTGGCGAGTACACTGTCAAGATTAACCACCGAAAGATCCTTGATGGTATCTTCCAGCTCGCTGGTGTGCCTGCAGACAAGACCAGGCCGATTTCTTCGGCGGTTGACAAGCTTGACAAGCTTCCTTGGGCCGACGTCAAGAAGGAGATGACTGTGGAGAAGGGTTTGGATGAGAAGGTTGCGGACAAGATTGGAGAGTATGTTGGTCTGAAGGGTGCGTTCTCGTCATACATTGCATGTCGTCGATACTGATGGTCAACAGGCCCTGGTCTTGAGGTCCTTGCCAAGCTCCAAGCCGATACTGCCTTGACTGCCATTCCCCTCGCCAAGCAAGGTCTCGACGACATGGAAATTCTCTTCCGCTACTTGCAAGTCTACAAGGTCCTCGACAAGATGAGCTTTGACATGTCCCTCGCCCGAGGTCTTGACTACTACACCGGTATCATCTACGAAGCCATCCACGAATCCTCTGCCCCTCCCTCCAAGGCCCCCATTCCCTCCGTCCCTGCCCCCACTTCCACTTCCTCCGCCACCCCTGCTTCCAACCCCAAAAAGTCCAAGAAGGACGTCACTGTGAACGAAGACGGTGTGGACGAGTCCACCATCGGTGTTGGCTCCATTGCTGCTGGTGGTCGATACGACAACCTCGTCGGCATGTTTGCCAGCGCTACTGGCCGAAAGGCCGAGCAGGTGCCTTGTGTTGGTGTGTCTGTGGGTGTGGAGAGGGTGTATTCGATCATGGAGATGAGGAGGAAGAAGGCGGAGGAGAAGGTTAGGGGTAAGGAGACGGAGGTGTATGTGCTCGGATTGGGAGGTGTGCCTATCGAGAAGAGGATGGAGTTTGCGACTCTGCTCTGGGATGCTGGTATCAAGGTGAGTCTGCACCACCATTTGCCGTGCAGCTACTAACGTTGTAACAGACCTCGTTCTCGCCCAAGGTCAACCCCAAACCTCAGCCTCAATGGAACCAGGCCGACGACGACCTCGTCCCCTTCATCGTCATTCTCGCTCCCAAGGAGCTGGAAGCTGGTACCGTCCGTATCAAGCAGCAGGTCGGCAAGGACGCTGCCGGTGACAACAAGGGCGAGGAGGTCAAGGTTGAGGACGCTGTGCAGTACCTGAAGCAGAAGTTGGCTCAGGTTTAAGAAGAAACGAAACGATAGATGGATCGACGCTTTATATGCATATAGTCCCAATGTGTTTCGGTCAAGCACGGTATAACCTGTCATTCTCTCCATCCTCGCTAGAGTCATCCTCGCTCTCCGTCCCCTCTGTCCCATCCTCACTCTCCGTCTCCTCATCATACTCATACTCTTGCATCAGACTCCCACTCTGCACCCCCAGCCCCCTTCCAGCCACAACCTCTTCACCGCTTTCACTAGCGCTCTCGTCTTCAGATTCCGACTCGGACTCTGTCTCACTATCCAAGAACGAGTCGAGATCTTGGAACTTGGCCTTGGCAGGCTGAGGTACTTGACCCGATGCTGGGGAAGCAAGGACCGGTGTGCTGCTGACGGTGCCAGGCAATGCCCGCCGTGGGAGCTGGCCGGAGGAAGACATGTGCAGAGGTGCTGATGGTACGCCATGATTCTGCGCCTGGGAAGAGAATGAAGTAGGCGTCGGAGTCGACTGCACCTTTTCCAGCTATGTCTTGTCAGAAACATCTTTGGGTCAAGGAGAGAGGACACACTTCAGAATCACGCAGCGTTCCATCTGTAGGATCATCAGTCCACTCTTGCAGCTCTTCATACCCCTTCAGCTTTTTGCCCGCTACGCGCGAGGTAGTAGCGACGTCAAAGTCTTGCGCACCACCCTTACGAATAGATAACTCGGTATCGCCAGTTGTGGGTTGCTGGTTTAGAACGACAAACTTGACTTGTTCGCGGCGGAGGACGACACCGCCTGTATCTTCTTCTTCTTCCTCCGCCGGACCATCCCCGTTCGCCGGCTTCTCCGCCCGAACACCTCTCAGGAGGGTATGCAAAAATCTCGCCCGATCCCTCACATCCCAATCCGCATCATACCTCGCCATCCCCCACAGATACTGCCCCATCAGCTCCAACTGCTTATTTCCCGGGACGAGCACCGTCACTTTCGTCATCAACGTGACGATCTGCAATTTGGCAGCTGTGCCTTCTTCTTTAAACCCTTTCACAGCCTTCCTGAGGACATCCGGCACCCAGAGGGAGACGCCTTCCCAGCCGAGACCTTGTTTGGCAGATTCGAGGGAGGGATCGAGGGCGGCGAATTGGCCGACGAGCCAGAAGACGCTAGCGCGGGCTTTGGGGTTGAGGATGGTCTCGAGCCCTTTGGCCAGGCGGGCTACGAGGTGTTGGGGGGAGGGGAAAGTGGGGGGGAGGGAGCTAGAGAGGATCACGGATTTGAGGACTGTGACTGCTTGGGCCACTAGTGTTTCTGAAGAAGATGTCAGCCGTCATGTGGCGTCATTCAGCACAAACGATGCTCACCTCTATCACTTTTGAGAAGTTTCATCAAAGCCCCGAGTCCTTTGCTAGCCACCTCAGACTGACTCGTGACGCATGGTCCTATAGCGCGCACCACACCTTCCGCGACACTGTCACCAGGTAACCTAAGGTAGTGTTTGAATTCACGCATAGAGGCGGCAGCGTTTTCGGGTGTGACGAGTGCACTGAGGGCCCGGAGTTTGGATTTTTGGATGGAGGGAGGTTCAGAGGAATGGAGGAAGAATGAAGCGTGGTAGGGGATGAATAGCCACTATGCTACAGGTCAGTGACCAGCCTGTTGGGCAAGACAAAGCGACGTACAGGCCGTTCTTCAGTCATCTCCGCCAACACCTCCCAGCTCAACACAGCAATCTCCTCCCTCCCCACATTCCCACCCGAGCTTCCCGCAAGTCTCAGTAGAGGCCTCACAAGCAGCTGTTGTCCCACGAGCTCGTGCCCCGCTGGGGCGAGGTGCCAGTATGCTTTGGCGGTAGCCAGAGTGACGGCAGGGTTACGCGAGTTGAAGAGGGGTTTGATACAATGTAAGAGCATGGCAAGATCAATGTCGAGGCCCTCAAACTCGTCTTCGCTGTCATACTCTTGTTTCTCTCCATTTGCCTTCTCAGTCTTGGGCTGAGGCTTGACGGCACCAGCACCATCGGGCTTCTCGAGCATAGCTCTAGCATACCTGACGAGCACTGCGAGAGCGACTGCTTGTCCCCACTCATCTGCATCGACGACAAGGTTGCAAATGTGCCGGAAGTAGGGGTGGAGAAGATCGAGTCTTTCGGGGCAGATCTCCATGAACGCCGTGAGGGAAACACCGAGCGTCAGAGGGGAAGAGGAGGAGAGCAGCGTTTGCAGGAGGACGATAAGCTGGGGAAGGGTAGAGCTGTCGAGTTCGTAGACCTTGGAAAGACCTCCGGCGACAGTCTTGCGCACCCAAGGATTGCGGTCATTGACAAGCTTCTTCAGGCCCAGCATGACGATCCCTTGGATGACTGGCACTCGGATAGAAGTCAACACCCGGAGCGACATTGACCTAATAAGAGGCGAGGGATCGGACAGATCTTTCTGGAAGGTATTGATAGACAGCAAGACGAGGTCCGAGTTTGTCGAAGCGAACCTCAGCAGGTAGATGTATACGAGCTTGCGGATCTCGATGCTTTGCGACACGACATTCTTGACGACTTGGGCAAAGAACGGCTCCATATCTCTCCCCTTTGACATGCCTGCGATGATACGCTTCATCCCCTCGAGCCTTTCAGCATCACTTCTACTCTCGAGAAGCTTGGTGATCTCCTTGAGCTTGTCATCCGAGGTGTCAAAGTAGGTGGTCGAGGAGCCTGTCCCGGTGAGGAGGGAGAGATCGCGAGTCGTCTCCTGGAAGTTTTCCTTGATCCTCTGGGAGAGGCGGTTGAGAGCGGCCATGTTGAGCCCCGAGATGTTAATGCAGACAGATATGAAGCAGAGTCGAGGTGACACCTGGCCGGATTAGGTCGAGAAAAGTGGTGACGCGGAAGGGGAATGCCCAGCTACGCAGCCGGTGCATCGGTCGCCCTGCATTGTCAAGTCGGACACATTCTGGATCTCCCTGCCCATTCCTTTATCTTTTATATAACTCATTTGGGCTAGACTCTTGCAGAGTTCAGACACACCGACAGGTCAATCCATCCCCTTGGCTCACATCTCGCCACGCGCGCCCGACCTGGCCCTGCCATGTCCAGCCTACCTTCCATCTTGCTGCTGTGGTGCAGCCTGATCATCGCATGCTATGGGTTCAGAGGTGAGTGCAAGGCCATCTCTTGTCTTCGATTCACGGTCAAAAATTGGCGGGATCACCGCTGACCGTGCCGCAGTCCCCATTAGCGATACCGACAACCTGCGAGAAGTATGTTCGGGAATGTATGGAGGCAAGGAGGCCTATATAGAGAGTGAGTCTTTGGAAGCTATCAAGAACGATACTGACGATCTACAGTGGCATTCGACGAATCATCGTCAGGCCAGGTTGCATTGGTGATCTATGAATGGTCCGACGTCCAGTACTTGGGTGCGCAGGGAGACGATGACCTCGTGAGACGACACCATAATCAAGAGATTTTCAGCTGATAGATAGCAGAGAACATATATCTGTACCACCTCGGCTGTCCGTTCCGGGCTTTGTACTGACTCCGACATGGGCGGATTCATCACTACCTACCCCGAAGGTGTCGACACCAACACCACCAGCATCTTCACCACCCCTCTCCGCTTTTCGAACGTCTTTTCCTCCATACCCTCATCGGACGAGGACGAATCGGTCGAGGTGTCATCCACTACGTCTGCAGAGTCTGCTGAAGAGACTGGGAGTACAGAGTCTGAGAGCGAGGAAGAGTCGGCAGAGGATATGGATGCGGAGAACGAGTACGAGGAGGCTGCAAAGTTGGCAGAGTCGGTGGAAGACATTGAGGAGCGAGGAGTGACTGCTAGAGCCAGGGAAGGTCTGGCACCCCTCTACACCAGCCCAATCACCTACGCCGTGCCCAAGACCGGATACTACTGCGTTGGTATCGTGCCCGTCACATTGGTCAACTCCAAGCGAGACCTGACGAAACGAGAGGCGACTCATGCCGAGTATTCTGGTGTTGTCCTGTTTAGGAACACGTTCGAGGGAGAGTTGCCTGCTGTCGAGTATCCCAAGATCAGCGTGAGTGTTTGGGGTGTATGTCACAAGAAGAAGCTCATCAAGCTACGTAGTTCTATCTGTCTCTTAGCATTGTCTACTTTTTGCTCGGCTGTGGCTGGGCATACTTTTGCAGTAAACACCACCGCGAGCTGCTGTATGTCACATTACCAAGTCCAATATTATACCGCTAACACAACCCCAGGCCCATGCAATACTACATCTCCGGCACCATCGTCTTCCTCGTCATCGAAATGCTCGCCCAATTTGCTTACTACCGCTACATCAACAAGAATGGCGGTGGTGCCACCTCCCTCGCCTTCCTCTTTGTCATTGCCATTCTCAACGCCGCGCGAAACTCTTTGAGCTTCTTCTTGCTGTTGATTGTCAGTATGGGGCTGTCGGTGGTGACGCAGAGCTTGGGGACGGTCATGACCAAAGTTAGGATTCTGACTGCACTTCATTTCATCTTTGGAGGTGAGCCTTGAGTCTTCGGATTGGGGAGCTGGATCTGACATCACCTAGTTGTATACGCCGTTGGAACCGTCCAAGTCGAAATTGACGTAAGTAACTCCTTCCAAGCCAATACAAGCCCCACTGACTCTCTTCGCAGAACGCATCCCTACTCACTGTCCTACTCCTCATCTTCCCCCTCTCCCTCACCCTCACCGCCTTCCTGATGTGGATTATCGTCTCCCTCAACGGCACCATACTGCACCTCCAAGCCCGCAAACAGCGTTACAAGCTTCAAATGTTCCAGCGCTTGTGGCGGATCTTAGTCGTCAGCGTGATTGCTGTGGCGGCATTCTTTGTCGTCTCGAGTATGAGTCTTTCCAATCGTTTGGATGAAGGTGAGCGTTCCCCCAAAAAAGTTAGGTTCGAATGGAGGCTAACAGGAGACCGGTAGATTACACCCCGAGCAGCTGGAAATACCGCTGGATCCTCCTCGACGGATCGCTCGCCACCATCTACCTCCTCGCCTTTGCCGCTATCGCCTACCTCTGGCGTCCCACGCGCGACAACCTCCAATTCTCCATGTCCCAAGAACTCGCCCAAGACGAGGCGGACGCAGATGCCGAAGACTACGAGTTTGACTCTCTAGACCTCGAATCCGGTCGAGGGCGTGGTATGGGGCACCAGCCTCTGGGGCAGGATGATGACGATGGGGAGGAGGAGGATGTGAGAAAGGGGCTTGTCAGGGGTACGCATGGGGTCGGGGAGGAGAATGTCGTTTTTGCTATGGGCGATGATAGTGATGAAGAAGAAGAGGAAGGGAGGAGGAGTAAGGGTGGGTATAGAGATAGTGAGGAGGCGGGTGTGAGCCGTAGAGCGTCACCGAGTGAGAATAAGGGCAAGAATGATTAAGGAGTGCTGTCTTGAGTGTAGCAGATGCGATGGGGGTAGAGTGGAGGATAGAGTATCTTTTTCATTCATGTACAAGCTATACCCAGATGCCGCAAGGAGCTCAAACCCCATGAACCCGGGATAGTCACCATAAGATCATGAACCCACAGGCCCGCTCTCACCCTTCAACCGCATCCCCTTTGTATAAGCACTGCTCCCCAAACTTGTCCTTTCCGAGAGAGGCGACCACGGCGGCGGCCCCTCCAACCCGCTCCCCACCGTATTACTCAACGTGCTCAGACCCGATATGGTAATATCCACCCTGTCCCCTGTCTTCAAAAACTCGCCCGAAGACAGACATACCCCAGCGGGCGTTCCTGTGGCAATAACGTCTCCAGGCTGGAGGGTGGTGCCCATGGAGCAGGTGGCGATGAGGGTGGGAATATCAAATATCATTTGGTCTATACGGGCTGCTTGGCGGAGTTTGCCGTTCAGTCGGGTTTCGAGGGTCATGCTCTTCCAGTCGAGTACCGAGGCTGATCAATGATGAGTATAGGGGAGCATGGAGACGAAGGAGTGCTTACTGTGGACGGCGAAGGGACCCATGGGACAGAAAGTGTCGAAAGACTTGCCAATGTAGAATTGTTTATGATCCTTTTGCCGTTCACGGGCTGTCACCTGCTTTTCATTAGCCCTGCTCAACATCTTTGATCCTCGAATGCTTACGTCGTTGATGATAGTAGCCCCCCAAACATGATCCCAGGCGTCCTCTCGGGAAATGCCAATACCAGGTTTCCCAATGATGATGGCGAGCTCTCCTTCGTAATCCAAAGACTGGGTAAGCTTTGGGTGAGGATAAATCTCGTGTTTGTGGCCGATGATAGAAGTTGAGCGCTTGGTGAAGATCACTCGAATCGCGTCAGATATTGCAATCCAAAGTGAGGGAATGCGCACCTGGGTAATCTGGCTGCGCCTTGTTATCGCTGCGATCATAGCCACTCTTGTGGAACTCTCTGCAAGCCGTGTCAGCTGATACCATATCATCTCCCATCTCGCGTCTTACTCTGCATGCTCCTTGTAGTTCTTTCCAACACAGATCACATCTCGCCCCCTCAACGGCGCCAACACCTCCACCATATCAAGTCTCTCCATCGGCGCGCCATGGAGCAGATGCTTATGCGTCGCGTCCCACTCCTCGATAAGCTGGTGCATATTCCGGACAGGCGTATTGTCAGGGAACCTCAGAGGGGTCACATGTTCTTCGCTGGGGTCGACGAGACCTATGATGCCCTTGGGATGAAGCCCAGAGCGGTCTACCAAGTGATCAGTCGCGTCGCCAGAGATATGGGCATGGACTGACAGGAGATGAATTTCATGGAGGAGTCTGTGGACCCCCTGCGGTTGCGGAGTCTGTCGAAGAAGGACATGGCTGGTGAGTTTGTAGATCAGAAGATGATCGATGAATGAACTACAGTTGCGATGGCCTGTGACGCTGCGATTGGCCGTGCCTCCCTCGGATTCTCGGAGTCTCCGCGTACCTGACCGGCTCATGGTCGTAATGTTTGTCAAGCCGGGTGCTTTGTTGACAATTTGTAACTTCCAACGTCCCCATGAACAGCGGTGCCAGACTGGTCTGCCTATGGATATTGCGTTGTGCGGCTGCGAATGGGCTAGTGGACGTTGCAGGTTTTGTACTGGAAGAACAACATGGCGGCACCGCTCAGTGATGCAGCGACTTGCAGTAGTGCATCGTCAAGAGGGATCGATATGAGCAGTGTTGGAAGGCAGACTTGCCTTTGCTTTGGCTCTGGGTATCAATCATCACCAGAGCAGACCACAGAGTTGGCTGACTTCTATTACATTCACCAAGGATTTCCGATAACCATCCCTTTCAGACTCTCAGAGCGACTCTTTTGAGCCCCACAGGAGCCCCGTCAATCGGCCGACGAAGGTGTTGCATCATCATAGAGCATCCTGGCAAGCACAGATGATTCATAACCCTTCGCCATCACAACGCTTCCACAAAGCATCTTGACATATACATGCGCATCCCCTCCATCTCCATACTGAAACGATCCATCATGACACAAGCCCTCAGCGATTCCTGGGTCCCCTTCACCCTCGTCGACACCACCCAATACAACCACAACACCCGCAAGTACCGATTCGCCTTTCCCGATGGGGAAGACAAGGTGATCGGAGGTGAGGTGGCGATGGCGTTGGGTATCAAGCCGGAAGATGAGCATGATATCAAGGATGAGAAGGGGAATCCTGTTATGCGGTGAGTCTGCTTTGTCGGCGAAGCTGGGATGAGTTTGGAGCTGATTTGGGGTTTAGACCTTATACACCCATCTCTCCTCCCGAGACCAAGGGCCACGCAGACTTCCTGATCAAAGAGTACGCCGTAAGTACACCCCACCCAAGCCCCACATGCCCGCATCCTCTGACCAGTCCCTCAGAACGGCAAAATCTCACCTTACCTCGCCTCCCTCAAGCCCGGAGACACCGCTCTCTTCAAGGGCCCCTTCCAGAAATTCGTCTACCAGCCCAACACGTTTGACCGTGGACTCTGTATCTCTGGCGGTGCTGGTATCACCCCGTTCATTCAGCTCATCAGGCATTCGCTCAAGAAGACCGAGGACAAGACCAAATGGACGCTTTTGTACGGTAATGTGACAGAGGAGGACATCTGCGAGTCTTATAGCGTCTTGGGAAGGTGTCATTGCTGATAGGTCATAGTGCTTCGCGAAGAATTCGACGAGTTGCTCAAACAGCACCCCGACCGACTCGTGATCCACCACGTCATCGAAAAGCCCTCTTCCTCCTGGACCGGCGACAAAGGCTACATCACCGCCGAGACCATCCAAAAGGCGTTCCCCCGCCCCGAGGGTAGTCAGGAGACAGTGAGGGCGTTCGTGTGTGGGCCGCCGGGGCAGATGAAGGCGATTTGTGGGATGAAGAATGGGATGAAGCAGGGGACGTTGGAAGGGGCGTTGAAGGATATTGGGTATGAGCAGAGCGAGGTGTTCAAGTATTGAGCATGCAGAGTGATAGAAGTAGGATATCAGAAGTATACAGATGCACCTCAGCATGTTCAGTCAGCCTCATTATCATCGTCTATAAATCGCACAAAGTAGAAAAACAAATCCGTTTCATAACCATCGTGGCACAAGTTTAGCGACTTCTAGTAAACATACAAAACGCTCCCTCACTCCCCTACAACGCCGACACAGTCCAAGTTCTCACACACCCGTCCGCACCCGCGCTCACAAGCTTGGTATTACCAACCCACGAAACACCAGCCACACCTCCCGGATGAGCATTCTGCACCCCCATTAGCACCCTTCTCATACTCCTCATGACAGGAGACTCACCTTGATAGCGATATTGTTCAACTGCTTCTGCGTATCCCAGACATAAATCGCCTCATCCAACCCCGCCGACGCCAGCCTCCTACTATCCCTCGCCCAGCTCAGCGCCACCACCCGTCCCGTATGGAACGTCCATTTACTCGTCACCGCCGTCTTCTTCTCTTCCACATCTACCAGAATGATCCTGCCCGCAGCGTCGGCTGATGCAAGATACCTGCCATCGGGGGAAAAGGCGAGAGCGAGGATATCGCCCTTGTTGTCTGTGAATGTCGCGAGCGTGGAGGACGGGGAGGTGGATGAGAGGGTGAGGGTCTTGCCGTTTGCGGACGCGATGATGTCAGAATTTGGTCCAGCGTGGACAGCGACGGCAGAAGTGGGTTCAGAGGAGATGGTGGAAGGGGAAGGACCAGAGACGGAGAGGTCGGCTGTGGTGGAGATGTAGACGTTGTCGGGGGTGACGGCGAGGCCGGTCGGTTGGGCTTTGGTGGGGATGGAAGTGGAGGTGAAGGCGTTGTTCTCGATAGAGGAGACCTTGTCGTCCCAGCCGGCGGACCAGACTTTACCTTTTCCATCCGAAGTGAGGGCGGCGACCCGGGCGGTGTGACCGGTCCCTTCGACATCGCCACACGTCCCTTCCTGCTCTCCGTACCCTTCTCCAATATCGAATTTTTTCATGCTGCCGTCAAACGACCCAGCAAAGAAGGTCGCGTGCCCTTCATCGCTCTCTGTCAGGGTCGATGCTGTGACAGCTTTAGTAGGTCCGTGGAGGATACGCCATTTGGAGGAAGAGGATTCGCGAGTGTCAAAGACGTTAAGCGCGCCAGAGAGGGAGACGGAGACGAGAGTGTTGGGGCTGGCGTAGACGACGCCGTTCTGTTGGGCAGAGACGTCGGAGCCAACGTTGTATGTCTGGGCGGACTTGAGGGTGGATGCGTCCCCTAAGGAGCGTTAGATTGATCAAGAATGTTGTGTGTGACTTGCAAATAGAGACGATTCCATCAGCACCAGCGGTAGCGATTTTGCTGCTATCAGGGCTCCAAGAGCACGCCATCTACAGAGATAAGCTCGGTTTCGGCCAACACACTCAGGCTCACCAAACTAGAAGTACCTTCCCTCTCAGCCTCCCCCTTGAGCTCTCCCGTCTTGCCCTCATAGAAGAACAGCTTTCCGTCACTAGCCACAGATGCAAACAAGTCTCCGTCAGGAGAAAACGCCACATCCCGGACGAATCGAGTATGGGTGTTGATCATCTTGTCATACTTGAACGGCACAGCATTGTGAAACACGAGCGAATTGTCGTCGGAACCAGAAATGGCTCGGAAAGGACGCTGATGGCGTACAGACAATGCGGTGATTGGCTTTGCGTGGCCTGCAATCTCACCGCAAGAAGACCCAGTGTCGGTCAAGAAGGCAGCACCAAACTTGTCCTTGCCTTCACCTCCGACGATGATTCGCTTGCTCTCGCCGTCCCATGCGAGGTCGTTGATCTTGCCGCTCAGAGGGCGAGTGGCGAGTTTCAAGATGTTTTCCGTCTGGGTGACGTCCCAGATGCGGACGTTACCTGCTACATCGGCAGAAGCACAGTAGTAGCCCGAGGGCGAGAAGCGGGCGACGGTGGCGTTCTGCGTGTGCTGGGTGTATACGTGGGAGAGGCCGGGGTGCTGAGATTCATTAGCACTGCACATATGTATGAAGCGATACTCACATTGAGGTCACGGATGACAACAGCACGGCCATTAGTATAGACGATGCGCTCGCCCTTTGGGTCTACGCCGAGCTTGGTAGACTCTGAGCGTGCTGTGGCTGGGTTTGTGGGATATACAGGGCCTGCTGTCAGCTTTGCCCTGCCCCGCTGTACTTACCTGCTGTGAAGGACATGGTGTGCTGAGCGTTGGCTGAGCGTTCTCGACCGTCGCCCATCTCGTTGTCATCGCCCCGTCGCGTCGGCGCCCCCCGCCCGTGCCTCCACTTTCGTGCCTGAGATGTGACCGGCCGATGATGGTCGTCCCGAAAAGCCCTCTCACTGCTTTTGCTGCATTTCTGTTGGTCCCCGTCCATCTCCTCTGACGACCACTGACTACCGCCTGGCTAAGGTCCACCGTCTCTGTTTTATTGCCTTCAAATCAACTGTTTGCAAGCCTGACAGACTTGCCTGTTCCTCTTCGAAACATCAAGTCCAAAAGCAGCTCTCGCACAAGCTTCGAACAACCCTACCATTGTCATTTCTCGGGGCTCCACCGACAGCTCTCCGCGACAAGTCAAAATGGCTCCTACACCAAGAGCCATCGTGCTTACGGTCTTCCTCGCTCTCGTCTTGGATCTCCTCGGTATATCTACCTTTGATCCACGTGTCCGAGCCAGCTGACACCACCGCAGCATTCACCATCCCCCTCCCCCTCTTCCCCCGTCTGATAGAATGGTATCTCGCCAAAGACACTTCCCCAACATCCCTCATCTCCCGCTCCCTCGCCTTTTGCAGTAGCATCCGGAGCACAATACACTCCCTCCAGCCAGCTTCTGTCTCGGCGGTCACTTCCATCCACAAGGGCAGCAAGAACTGGGATGTGGTTTTGCTCGGAGGTATGATGGGCAGTCTGTTCAGTTTCTGCCAGTGTATCATCAGCCCCTGGCTTGGTATACTGTCAGACAGATACGGCAGGAGAAAAGTGCTGCTAGCGACCATGGCGGGCAACATTGCGTCGGCTGCTATCTGGATACAGTCTACCTCTTTCGAGTCTTATATCCTCTCTCGCCTAGTGGCAGGGTTGAGCGAGGGGAATGTGCAGCTGACGACTGCCATCATTGGTGACGTGACGGACGCTGCCTCGCGGTCAAAGTCGCTCGCCCTGGTTGGGATAGCATTCTCCATCTGCTTCACTTTCGGGTACGTCCTACCAAATCATTCTGATACGACAGAGCTGACACCCACGTAGTCCCTCCCTCGGTGCATACTTTGCAACCCGTCCTCTCCCTCTCGCCACCTCTGAAGACAAATATAACGTCTACGCCATGCCCGCTGCCATCTCCCTCGCCCTCCTCGTCTTGGAAACCCTCTATCTCGCTGCAAAACTACCCGAGACCAAGGGCTACAAGCTCGAACAGGCCAAGGCAGAGCAGAAAGAAGGCGAGGCGGCGGCTTTCATCCCGGAACCAAAAGATGTGTGGGAAAAGATGGGCAATTTGGACAAGTTGAAGGATTGTACGAATTTGCATGGGCTTTTCCTGCTGTTCTTCTCTGGAGTGAGTACTCTGATCGTCCAAAGACGAGATGCTGACTATCACAGGCCGAGTTTACCCTCACTTTCCTCACTTACGACATCTTTTCAGCTTCCAACGCCTACAACGGCAAGCTCCTCGGATGTAAGCCCCTCCGCCCCTCTTCCGCACCTCGACTGACCCATACACCAGTTATCGGTATCCTCGCAGCCATGATCCAAGGCCGCTACGTCCGTCCCCACATGGCCAAAGTCGGCGAGCTCCAAGTCGCCCTCTCTGGTATTCTGTCCTGCACCATCGGCCTCCTCCTCATCTCCGCCATCCCCTTCTTCACCTCCTCTTCCTTCACCGCCCTACCCCATATCCTGTTATATGCCGGGGCAACCTGTTTAGCGTTCACGAGTGCGACAGTCGTCACTGGGCTTACAGCGGCCGCTGCGGGCTGTTGCGACGAACGATTCCCTCAACTCCAACGTGGCCGGGCTATGGGCAAATTCAGATCCAGAGGCCAGCTGGGCAGGTCTGTTGGGCCTTTACTAGCTTCAGGGTTGTACTGGATCAACGGCCCTTCAGTAGCGTACCTGACGCTGGGAAGCATGTTGGCGGCTGTGTTGATGTTTGCGCCCAGGGGCGGGGTGGAGGGGTACAGGCCGTGGAAGGGAAAGAGCAAGATGCAATAGAGATGAAAATGATGTGATGTGATGCATTTATGACCACCCCACCACCATCCTCTCGACGCCGTACTGGTCTTTCCACACTTCTGTCCTGCCTACAACCTCGCTCTTCTTGAAGATTTCTTCCACCTTTCTAGCCTGGCCCAGGCCGACCTCTACAGCAACTCGAGGAATCCCTTTCCATCCCTTTCCCTCCATCTCTTCCTCACTCTGAAGAAGCTCCGGCAAGATCTCCGCTATCCTCTCATAAAATGCCAACCCCTCCCCAGCCTTCTTCCCATCCCCCAACAACGCCGCCGGGCTCTCATACTCCCTCACGCCCTTTGGCAACTGTTCCCATTCGTGCAAAGGGATATACGGCGGGTTACTGACCACCACGCCCACTTTCCCCTTCCCCCCCAGCAGTCCTTGGGGAAGTCCAAAGACATTGCCATACCTGATATCCACCCTCTCCCCCAGCTCATTATCCCGCACATTCGCGCCTGCTAAAGCAACAGCAGCCGGCGAATTGTCCACCCCCGTCACCTCCGCCATCAGGTTCTCATGCGCCATCAACAATCCCACGCAGCCCGAGCCTGTGCACAGATCCAGTACTGTCAGAGGGCTGGACGGGCGGTCTCGGGAGGTGAGGGAAGGGACGGAAGAGAGGATGGATGAAGAGAGGAGGGTGAAGATGTGGGCTGTTTCGGGGCGGGGGATGAGGACTGGTTTTTTGCACTTGATTGTGAGGGGACCAAAGTCTATGGAGCCTGTTGCCTAGGATCAGCTCTGTCCCATTGTATAGCGTCACCCGAGGAGTAAGAGCTTACCTAGAATATATTGCA